AATCACTTAAAGGTAACTAGACAATATAGAATAATATGCTATCATAATACAAAAAAAGCTAACCTTTTGTTTCTTTAGAAGCAATTTCTGGATGAGATGTGGGAGGCATGAGGACAACTCATCATCCAACTACCCCGTACTCCAGCAAAGCTAAGAAAGAAAAAAATATGGGTGGGTGTGAAGACAACTCGGCATCCTCTATCCAACAATATAATTAAAATTTAGTTTGGGGGTGGGGGTGAGTGGGAGCGTAGTTTACAAATACCCCGCTTTTCGACCCGGTTAGCTAGCTCCACCTCAGAAAGTTTAACCTAGGATCGGGCGCTTCAACCTACTTTTGGGCGTTTAGGAAAGTTATCACCTAGGTTAACCGCCCACTTAACCGCCAAATCGAGCTAACTCTGCTGAATCTAGCTCCAACCGCCCTTTCGCAGTTCGACAGAAACACTTTTCGACAGTGTGTTTCGACACTGTCGAATTTCGAGCGATAAATCCGACAGTGTCGAAAGCTGTCTATCGAAAAGTAGAACTGTCGCACGGCGACAAATTCATCGGTTAAGCTAGCTCCCGGTATCAAATAGATCAAACACGGGGAGGTTATCATCTAGGTTAACCGCCCACTTAACCGACCAATCCCATGTCAAAATTTCGAGAGCTTTTTTTGCGGAAATTGCAAAAATTCAGGTCCGTTGTTTTGCAAAAACCTGTAGTTCCGTGTCTCACGTAACATCACATGCATGAATTTTCTTCTGCGTTCTTTTGCAGAAACAAAAAGTTTTACGATAAAACGCAAGAAAAGAGCATCGTTTTTCATGCAGAAAGTATTACTCCTGTAGTTACCTTAAAGCTTCACACGGTGTCCTGCAACGGGCGGGCTCATAGGCAATCCTCGCGGCTTGCCCCACTGTCCACCCCCACCACTCGACCCATGGACCATCCTCACCGCTCTCCATGAAGGTAAGAGGAGTCACTTAGAGAAATCTCTGAGTAAATTTTCAGTGTAAAAGTAACTTTTTCGAATTATACACTAGTTACAATGACTTATCGATGAGTCATCGCAATGAGTCATCGTTTTTTTGCAGTGTTAAGCCAAAAAATTTATTGAAAACACACAGGCAGTACAACGCAAAAAAAAAGATTCGGCGATAAAAGACAAAAAGCTATCTTTTTCTTGTTTATTTTTGCACGGTAAAAATACAGCGTAAGAAAACGCATATAAGAAGCATGCGTTTTCTGGTGTTGCGTTAGTGCTGCCAAGTAAGTGCCAAAAAACGCACATTTCTGCAGAAATCGTGAAAAAAATTTGACATGGGATTTGATCTAGCTCCAACCGCCCACTTAACCGACCGGTCAAGCTAGTTCCTGGCATCAAATAGATTAAGCACAGGGAGGTTATCACCTAGGTTAACCGGCCGCTTAACCGACCGATCGAGCTAGCTCTATCTGATCTTTTCCTCTCCTTCTGATAAAAGCTTTATTATTTCAGAATACAAGTATTCTGTATCCTGAGTGTGTATTCTGAAAGAATAAAGCTTATATTAAAAGGAGGGAAAATTTAATTTAGGAGAAACACTGAGGGAAGGAGGACGAGTACGATGCAAGGCTAGGTTAAATCCATTGCTTTTTAGGAGTCCAGCATTTAGCAGAAGTTTTAAAACCGTACAGCCATTCCGCGTAACGGTCAACCAAATGTCAGTTGGACAGTTGAAGAAACTTACAAATGAATTTTACTACGAATAAAGCAGAAAAGTACAATCCTTTTGCAGATTCGAACCTGCAAGACAGTAATCTTTTCTGCTTCTCGTATTTTCTGTCTGAAAAAAGCATTTTCGAGAGTAGTGACTCGAACATAATATGTGGCAAATTTAATTTTCTAAACTTTATGTGTTACGACCAGATTTTTAAGAAATCGCTCTACATGCAAGAACAATGTCAAACAAAATGGCGATTGAAAGAATAACATATTTATTTGTCTATCCTATCGACCAACAGAATTTTAGCAGAAGTCCTCTACACTGTAGCGCTACAATAACTATAAATAAATGCAAAGTTGGCATATTTACATTTTTGTTAAGCCTCTGAGTCATGTCGTAATCAAAATGATTGCTGTCTTTCTTTGTTAGCAAAGATTTTGTTAATTACAGAAAAGTTTTCAAACCTTGTCAAGATTTTTGCATGCAGATTCCTTTAAAAAACTTGACAAGAATTGTTGAACATTCTCTGAGATCACGAAACTTGACAGATCTTGTGCAGATATAAACTTTCTGCAGGATATGGGCAATGTGTGATGAAACATTGAAAAATCATTCTAAAATTGCTCTAGCATAAAGTACAGAAAAACGGCCTAAAAACCGTCCGTTAACGACTTGTTTACGGTTTGAAGCATCTAATATCTATGTGTCATGAAACATTCAAAAATCACTCTAGCATAAAGTACTGAAAAACGACCTAAAAACGGGCCGTTAATTGGCTGTTAACGACCTGTTCACGGTTTATAGAATCTAATATGTTCGGTTTTCCTCCAGCATATTTCACACTATGTAAATGCAGTGGAATAAACTAGATGTAAAGTGGTACGTAAGCTTGCAAGCTTGAATAGCACTTTGATAATGTTAGTTTTCGATCCGACATGGCCATATAGTTATACAGTGACAGACTGGCAAACACAAGTTCTGATGTTCGAATCTCGATATTTTCAAGTAAGGAAAAAAATTATAGTGTTGTTAGATGATGTGTATAGTATAGTGCCTAGGTTAGGTCGATTAGTGAGAAAGGGTAGGTTCAACAGATAAGTCAGAAAAATTTTTTTTAATTTTTTTCATATAGTAGTCCAGGTCAAAAACACGGCCCGTTAACGTTCTCAAAACGACAAAAAAACGGCCACCAAACGGTTAATAAACTGCCAGTAAATGGTAAGAAAACGTTTATAAAACGATCCGTAAACGGTGAAAAGACGATCTATTTACCCTAAAACGGTACAAGTTTTAGGTTCTGAAAACGGTCCGTTTACGGCACGTTAACTTACCGTTAACGGTGCCGTTTTCTTGGACCTGGGTACTTTTGCACCATATGTTATATTAGTGGGTGGAAATATTATTCTTACACGTGACATTCCTCGTTTTTTTGTCATAGGTAAATAAAGCTATAAATGGGATCATGAAAGCAATGAAGTGTGTAAAAATGTTAAAAGACGAACCTCCATTTATCATAGATTCTGGTACAGTATCCATTGCATTGGCCCACATGCTTCATTTTTCAGTCCTTTAGAGGTACTAACAGTTTTTCAACTTTAGGAAGCCAATCCAATATGACTGAGGATGAACCAGCTGACATCGATCCGAGCGGGAAGGGTAACAAATCTAAAATGTAGTATAATTCAGCAGCAGATTTTTATCCGTGTTTCATTGTTCTAGTTACATACGTTGTACAAACAATTACTGCGGATAAACGTCACGCTGGTACCGATGGTCAAGTTTATCTAACACTCTTTGGTGATAATGATAGAAAAACGGAGGAAATACACCTAGATGGCGGTTATCGAGATAACTTTGAAAGAGCAGCTGTGAGTGCTGTGTAAAGGGAATTGCAATCAGTAATTAAATCCATACTATTTATTTATTTATAGGAAGCAACATTTGAACTAAAACTACCCGATGTGGGGGAATTGAAATCTATTGAATTACGACATCATAGTAAAACTCCTGATATCCAATGGTACTTAGAAGAAATCATAATTGAAAATACAAAACAAAGGAACGGTTAATCTCGCGTTTTTTGTTTTTTACTCCAATTTATTCGTTGTGCTTTGTTTTAGCTATGCTACGTCTTCTCGTGGTCAATGGCTTGGAAAACCAGAGCCCGATAAAATTAAATTAAATGTGACAAAAGAGTCAAACCTTAGAAGAGATTCCTTACTACAACACCAAGAAAATGATACGAGAATTGAAATGTTTAATATGATAAGCGAATACTAGTTGTAGTGCGAATTAGTTGTAAAATTACTTTTCAAGTTGGGTTGGTGCGCTTTTTTGGTTGCGGAAGAGTTGTAATAAACTAATAGCGCTATATTAATTTAAATCATAATTACTAGTTGTTTTCGAGGATTGTAAAAGAATTTGAACGTCTTATTATTTCGTTTAAGTTGCAGCCCAGCCTTGTTTTTGAGATCCTGTTGAATGCTCATAGATAAGTGAAGTTGATAAGTTAAAAAAGAATTGAAGTAGATCAGAGTAATAGATGAATATAAATCGCTCGAAATTCAAACTGAAGTCATATGCTATTTTCAAGCTAGTGCGAATTTAATTTTTCGTCTAACATAAACTTTTTGTCGTTTTTCTGTTGCTCGTGCCTTGAGCTCATGCTACTTATACCCACTTCTTGAGTACTTAAATTAAATGACTTACAACTCTATGAGAACAAAGCCCGATATTCCAAACATTTTGTAGATATAGCTAACTTGAGATGCCCTACAGCCTATCAAACTCAAAAACGGTATTTGAGCGGAAAATTGTTGCATTCCGGGATCCGGTTTTACAGAAACTGGACTCCAAAGGCCTATGCACGACTCCTGCTACGATATTCAGAATCAGCACCATCGATTTCATATGACTATGTGACTTTTATCCAAAAGACTGATTTTCAGGTTGCGAACTTTCCCTCGTGAGACACGATATCACTTCGGATCCTGGCGGGCGGACAGTTCGTTTCGTAAAAGAGTGCGCTTTTGAACTTATTCCTTTTATTGACTGCACTCGGTAATCAGCCCTCACAGTCGAAATTGCAGGATATTGTGACCTCCATGAAAAAGGGCTAAAAGCCCTTGCGGATACGGACAAATACCGTCCTGTTTCTCTTTTGCCCACTCTGAGTAAAATTCTGAGGAGTTTTATTTATGACCAACGTTTTGAATATCTAAGCAAGCGAGCACAACTCTTTTTTTCCAAAGTAGTTCCGTTTTCAGCCGAATTCGAGTACACAACACTTTTGAGTGCTGTTACAAAACCGAGCACATTCGGTGCAAGCTAGTGGGCAGCTACATTGACTTGGAGTGTTGTACCTGTTGAAACAACCGTAACTGAGGCACTAAGTGGTGCGGGATTCGTGATATAATACATTCCTGGACCAGTCGAATAAATAAGAATCAAGTGAACAGTACAAAAATCGGATATCTGTTATACAAGTGAAGTGAATAACCGAGAAGAAACGTATATGTGTATATGAATAAAAAATATTTCATACTTAATACATGCAAGAAAAACTGTTAGAAATGTATTATATATATTGTAAGATGTTTACTCACTTTCAAAATAAGTTGTTTCGAAATATGTTTTAATTTGAAACAGTCCTTAAATGAGAGTCAAACGAAATTTTATACTAGAAAAAGAAATTACGATACTTTTGTAGGAAAATCCAAAATATAAATTATGAAGTTAATTTGTATAAGTCCCTTCGGTGATGGACGAATGAGCTCCAACATGGGTAGAAACTACCCGACAAGTTTCATTTTTTCTGCTTAAATAATTCGTGAGATACGATGATTTTATTACTTTTAAATAAATGCCACGAATGGATTCCACGCTGATCAAGAATATCACAGCAGTGCACGTTTTTACAAAGAAAAATTCGAAATACTCTAAGGGTCTCAAAATCGGAAAAAAATCTTCGTGTTTCGAAAACGTTGAGTAATTTTCTCCCTTGTATTCTGAAGTTTCCAAATACTTTTCGGATTCAACGTTGAAAACTGAATTAGAAAATGTGTTTTCGAAGGTTTCCATATGTAATGTCATTGTGGGAAAAATTCGTTTACAAGCCTAGCTCGAAAGCGAAGGCCTCGCCGAAAAAAGCTATCTAGTTTTTTTGTGTTAAGGACCCCCCTCGGAAATGGTGATTTTCGGTCAAAAAATCGGTTTTGAGATACGCACATGGAAAGATAGCCTGAAGTGTCTACTTCCAGGGTCTGTATTGCTTTTGGTTACAAAACTGGTTTTTCGGGGATTTTGAGCAAGTGTTCTAAGAACCTCGAAAAAATGGGTCTTCAAATAATGG